TTAGAGAACAGGAAGTGGAGTTCTCTAACAAGCTTTATTCCGCCATCTTTAAATAGAGCTGGGGGAAGGCCATCAGAGCCCGGAGCTTTGTGACGTCCCAAAGCTTGGATCTCCTTACGGATTTCCGTCTCAGAAGGTGGGTCTGTTGAAAAAGACCATGGGACGTGTGCCGGAATAGCTGTGTGAGAAGCTGGCGCGGGTGGCCAGCTAAGCTGTCCTTTGAAGTGCTCCGCCAAGCGTTAAAGACGTCCCTGTTGATTGTGAATAAGCGAGCCGTCAGCTTCATAGGTCGTCTCGCTCACACCCAAAGCTTTCCTACCGGTGACTCGGATGAGATGGAACAGCTTACGGGAGTTTCCCATGGCGGCAGCACGTTCCATCTCTGATGCGCGTTGAGACTACCAGATCTCGCGATCTCTGCGCAGGCTTACGTTAAGTTCACGTCTCGTTATAAGCCGTGTTACGTTATGCTCGCTGCCGGTCGGAAGTGACTGACATGCGTCAAGAAGGCCGCAGAGACTCGGGAAATCCACGGCGTATCAGACCATAACTACCTAAGCCGGCAGAAAGCACAGCATACTTGATAAGCGACCAGTGCTCACTGACGTTATCAGGTGGGGTTGGTTCTAGCTTTTCAATTAGTGCGTTTTGAAAGACGGCTAAGCGTGCTGGTTGAGACAACTTATCGCAGTCTTACCGCCGCTGTGCCGTACTTTTAGGACGCCCACCGAAGCACATGGACAGCTAGGTGCAAACTAATGCGTGATCGGATTCGGGGGTAGTGCTCCAGTACGATCGGTGGTCTTGAATGCAACCCCGCCATTTGTAGCTTATAGCGATGTGGTCTATTTGCGTTAATCGCTGACTCGAGGAGGGTGGACGCCAAGTGGCGTAACGGCAGTTGGAGCGTCTGAAGTTCGTACTGGCGAGGAATAGGTGATGGTCAGAACATAGAGTCAGCAACCGTTCCCCGTTTTCCGAGCGATAGGAATCTAGTCCGAAAGGACCACCCAGATGCGCCTCACTCGAAGTCAGCCGGCCTACTCTAGCATTCATATCTCCTGCTAAAATCACGATATCAGCCCG